CTCAGGACTCCGCGGACACGATGACCGGCTCCCGTGGACCAGGGCGCATATTGCCTGCGCGTCGCGGCGCGATCCGGGGAGATCGATATTGGCTCTTCGCCGACCATTTTCGTGTGCAGCGCCCGCACATTGCGCGTCCCATCGCCGTCCCGCCCCGTGTTGCCGCACTGCTGGGCCAGATCAGCGCTGGGGACGCTGGTAGCGGTCTGTGCTGCGTAGACGCGCTCGCGGGGGCCTTATCCATGGGGACGATCATGCGCACTCCCCCGAGCCCGCCGTGGCGTGTACGTCGACTTTGGACTTCTGTCCATGTCTGCGTCGCAGTGGGCATGGTCTGGGCGCGCGTATGATCCTGCACGCACGCAAATCACTTTGACCACGTTGTTTTCACAGACGAGCCGTTCAGTGAACGCCAGCCCGGTCGATGAACGCTAATTCGAGCCGTCAAATGGCACTCATCATCGTGGTCGAGAGCAGTCCCTCGTGCTAGCATAAGCGTACATGTACGTGACTATTCCTACACTAGAGCCCCACCCTCATGAGTACACGGCCAGAATGCTAGGCTCCAGATGTGGCGGCATCTGCCACCGGGAACTCGTTCCCGGCGTCGCGACATGGCTCCTGTTAAACTATGTGAGCATATGAAACGTCCCATAACCCTCGCTGGTCTACTTACCTGCCCCATCTGCGCCGTAGCGGATAGAGACGACCGCGCCGCGACGGCAGCACCACCACGACACCGTCAGCAGTGCATCTGCACAGCACGATATGATCACTCACCACGGTAGCAGGAGTTCCCCCGACCTCGCCCACGCGGTCAGAGGAGCGGCGGTGCGGTGCGACCGCGGTGATGGTAGAGTTGTGCGAAGTACAGGAAAGACGTCGACGGTGGTGGGAAGAAGGGGGAGGGGGAGACTTGGTGATCGATCTCGCGGCCGTACGTCCACCCTTTTATCCCCTCCCCGCACACACTTACGCGAGACTGACGCACGGGCCAGGATGGGATGCGGTGCCTCCCATCCTGCTGTATCCGCCCGGGACGACTGCCCCTCGGCGCGGCGTTGCTGCGGTCTCCAGTACGCGCACATCCGAGCACAGAAGATAGCCTTGGATTGGCCCGCGCCGCATCCTTCTCGATCTGTGGCCGCGACGACGCCGCATGCCAGGCTCCAGGCCGCCGACCCACGCTCGCCGCGCAGGACGTCTCCACGCCGACGTGCGCATCTCGCCATCCCGTCGCGCGGACGTGGCCTCGGACGCGGACACGGGCGTGCGCAGGGACAATACCGCGCGCGGAACACGGCTGGGTTGAAACGCGCGACCGTGTTGACGGCAGGAGGGGCGCGCGTATCACGCCCGTGCTGTGGGTCCAGGTCTGCGGCGCGCGGGCGGGCGAGCCGATGTCGTCTGTATCCACCGCCGCTTGGTGCAGCTTCGAGGAAATGGGCACGGCGGCGATCCGCCATCATACGACGGGACGGGAGGGGCAACGGCGAGAGGTGGCTGGGGCGTTCTCACGACTCCGCAAGACCCGTCCTTCCTGGACCGCGGCCATAGTTCGTACGGGGAGGGATCCTCGTCAGCGACCACTAGCCATACGCTTGTTTGCCAAACAGCCCCCCGCTCGACTCTGTGTCCACCCCGCTCGACGCACGAGTGAGGCGGAGGCGGAGGTGGATACGAGCTGCGTGCTGATCGGACGGTGCCCGGCAATAGCACCAGCGGCGGACGTTCGCGGACGGAAATTTCGGGTGAAGCACGAACCTGGGATGCGCCGCAATGTCCGCTTCGAGCGCGCGCGGATCTGCCTCGAAGGATGGGTCGCGACGGGCTGCGATACTCCGGGGTCGCCCCTGGCCGTGGTGAGTACACCACTGCCCCCTCGAAACGATCTCGAGAGTGGCTGATTGTGTGGGGGACCCGCGCGGATCGCCTATGCAACGTCGTGTTGACGGTCGCGTCTGCGTACGAATTCTGGCTCGACCGTCGGTGCCGCCACACAAGCCGAATTTGGGGCCGGCTTCTATGCATATCCGAGCCTGTGTGCCGGGCTCCTGCTTGCGCGTACGCCGCAGGAGGGCTTCTGTGGGCACACTCGACGAGCGGCGAGTCCAACTCGGAGTTTCCGTCATACGACAGGACGCACCTCTGTTGTGCTACGTAGCTAATGTATGAAGACGGCAGAATTTACGCACCATCGACATCGCAGTCGAGGACTTGCTCAGTGTCGCGGCGGACAAGACTCGTGCGCCGGGCCTGCCCCGACGTTAACGTGCACACGATGCAGCGCCGAGAGAGCCGTGTACGGCGGACTCGAAGCACGTATACCTGTGCGCACACAGGACATTGCTTGGACCGCGACCATGTCTCCGATGCGATGCTCACCCCGTCCGTGGCATCCGCGAGTGTGTCTGAGGTGAGTGCCGCCTTGTCTCGCTCTCCTACGCTCCTAGCTCACGATGAACGTGTTTGACAGAGTGAATGCCTCGCGCGCGTCGCGCAGGGCTGCCATGCTCGGCGAAGCCGCGGGTGCGACCAATCAACTCGTCTATCCCCGCCACGAAGCACGGTGTCCAGCCGGGGTAACACCACTACGCCTGCACGGCATTTGCGGCGCTCGGCGCGCCATATTCCTACTTTGTTCACCATCGCTTATAGCTACTGCGCGGTGTATCCGAGTCTTGACTATGCTCTCATGCATGTAGATTACCAGCGCCCCCGGTATGCCAAATTCCGAAATGCACCCGTGCCTACAACCAAGCCATCTCCGCGCAGAACGAAGGGTGCGTCTCTAATTTGTATGCGCCATACGCTGCACTTTGCAGTACGGCCGCCCGTGTCGACACCGGCTCGCTTTAGGGTTGCTCGAGAAGCTGCTTCAGTGCAGACCGTCCAAATACCCCGCACGCCACGGCACATCGTTCACGTTGCCTAGGGCGCATAGGGCACTGCTCGATTAGTCTCGCGCGTCGCTAACTCTTGGCACAGTATGCCAGACACCAAACGCAAACCGCCGTCCTGCGTTGTCGTTCTCGTTCAGGTGCCCATGAACATGTTCAATTCCAGCTATTTCGCGACGAGATCATGGCTGCAGGCACGTCCCCGATGCGTACTTACTACTCTCCCACTCTTGCCAGAGCCCGCGGAGATGGCTTCTGCGCTTGCGTCCGGTGCGTACCTAAGTTATGTGCATGTTGACGTCGCTAACGCCGCTATACTCAGACGACACGAGCACAAAAATGCAAACAATATTTACCATGGCGCTCGCCTTTGTCCCAGAACACGCCCGTCACCTCGCGTGGGCGCTCTCAGCCATTGGGGACAACACCGACGCTGTATGAAGACGTCGACCACGTGGGGGCTGCACAGTGCCCGTGCCCAGGCCGACATCCATGTCGACGATCTCGCGCTCCAACGACGCTCTCTGGGACGTTCAAACCACGACGATACGATCCCGTGAACCAGGGGGCACGCCCCCTGCGCGTTTCGTCGCAATCCGAGGAGGTTTATTTTCGTCAATTTCGACTGATTTCATGTGCAAGTTCAGGAAAAAGACAGAAAATCTTGTGTTCCGCCACACTCCCGTCCCGTAGCGCCTCAAGATTTGGCAGGTACATTCAGTGGCATCCTCGGCACTGTCCTACGGTGCGTTTGAGCGCGCCCGGGCACTTTGAATTTAGTCATCTCGCAACGGGACCGTATTTCTGGCGCGTAGCCATCAAGCACCGGACGCGGTGGCGGCAACCGGCGACAATGTTGACGAAGTTGTCGATGCATCGAATGCGACGCAAGCATGCGCAGCAATGCTACGGGCTCCGCAACAGATGCATAATAAGGTACGCGCAGCGGTCACGTCGTTTCATTCGTGCCAAGGGCTCACGTTCGCCCAGATTCGCACACCGTGTACACGGCGCCGGCACTCGTCGTGGAAACCTGCCTACCGCCTCCGCAACGATCTTGCAACCTCTGTGCACACGGCAGGCGGGTGTGCTCCCGAATGGTAAGTATCGTCGTGGGAGGGTGCTCGGGTGATTTCACCCTCACTTAGTTTGAATGGCACTGCCGACCGACTCGCCTGGACTCGGACAACGGTGTAATGTAGAGCACGTTTCAATAACTCGTGTTTATGCTTGACAATCGCGGGCACAAAATATACAGTGGTGCAGACCGAAGCATATCATGGCATGTATGTGGCACATCAAGTACTCAGCACGTAGCTACACGAACACGGCGTAGAGCACGCACCGTGCATTATCCTTAGACATGCACAGGGTGCGAAATGGGCTCGGAGACGTGTATAACGAGCGGGCCCCTGTGGCACAGGTAGGTGCTCCGCCCAGCGCCATCGCCGCGACCACATTTTCCGCGCTCGCACTCGCGTAGCATCCGGGCAGGTTGACCAGAGATGCGCAGTCGGAGCGCGAGATCTGGGGTCCGAAAGCATATATTCCCGACACGAAACAGCGGGTGGGGAACCGCACAGCGGCCCGCAGGCAGCCCCCGGGCCAGCGTCGCGTTCGCGCCCATAGCAGGCCAGAGCAAGCACTCGCACCCGATGCACCGGCCCGCGGCGAAGAAAACGAGCGCTACGAGCTCCCAAACACCGATAATGCGACGCGCTTCCGCGCGGGCGCACCAGAGCTACAGACGGGGCACGCCGCGCAGGGAGATGAGTGTCGTGAGCGCAGTGTGCCGTGCCATAGACGTGAGCTTTGATTCGCATGGGCACACAAAATTTGCTCGCTGCATGCATGAGACGGGCGGGTGCGGGCGTGCACACCGAATGCCTATCCCCAGAGGGTGGCTCGTAGCTCGTAGTAAGTTGACGCAGCGGAGACTCGAATGAGGGTGCTCCGGACGGAGACCCAGGCCCATGGAGACGGCAGAGCCTGTGGCTGTTGAAACAGGGCAGCACGGACGAGGCCTGCGATGTAGCGCTGGCAACAAACGAGCACGGCGCGTAGCGAGGTGGATGCGAAGGTCGCCAACAGGACGTGAGAGTAAACGTATTCTGTGGCAAAGAGGACTAACTTGGAGCAAACATACTCCGAATTTGACGCACCGGACGGGGCGCTCGCCGCTCACTTTCGCTTGCAGTGACCCTGCCGCCGTGTCGCATCTGCAACGGCTCCGCCTGCGTGGAATCGCGATTGCATCCTGTGGTGCTTGAGTGACTTGATGAAGGACAGATGCGAGTGTCTTCGCAATTTCTCGAATGCGCTCGCCGCTTTCTGCTCGCGTGCTCTTTTCGTTCTTTACTCCCTCCTTCTCTGTTCGACGAGTTCTGCCCGGCTCATACGCCCCTTCTGCGTGGTCTGTGGGCTGTGGGTCTCGGTAGGTAAGTAGACGCCACCATCTGGTAGTTCAGACTTCACTCACACTCGCGCTTGCAGGTCTCCTGCATCGTTCAGCCCGCGATCGCCTCTTGCCTGCGGCTGCTCTCTGATCTTGTCCCTTCTAAGTAGTACAGTGAGTGACCTGTTATTGTCAGTGTCTTGCAGTCGTCTATAGTGCTCACCTCAGCTCTTGCCTACCGGGAAGGCAGCATGACTCGCCAGCGCCCCGCAAAGTCCACTTTCCATGCGCTTGGAGACACCGCCCGCGGCGCGTACGCACGAAAGGAGATGCAGATGCGAAGCGAGGTGCGAAAAGGGCTGAAGCAGAAACTAGGTAAGTAACTCGTCGGATACGGAGGCGCAGGCAGCTTGTACTCACGTATGTACCAGTGAGACGTGTTGGCGACGTGGACCCCAAGGTGTCGATGCATTGGACCGTGAGCGGCCTCTGCAACAACATCTACCTTCGCCACCGCCTCAAACTGGTCGGGTGGCCGAAGGGGATCGTTTTCGGCGACTTGAGCAAGACGGTCACCGGGCTGGACCGGATCTCGATACTCGTCCAGGCGCTACGGAGCGGGGACCTCACGTTCGAGCCTATCTCGCAGGCCGAGTATGATGCTGCTAAGCAGAACCCGCTGCTCGCGGCGCCCACTCACCTGAACTGTGGCCTGCGGCCGCACCCGAGCCGCGACGACATCGGGAGGCGGCGAGGGAGCAGCAAGGTCGACCCGGCAATCTACCCGCCTCGACATGTGCGAGATGGGCCGAGGTCGTCGAAGGTGGTGTCGGACGAAGCAGAGGCGAGGGCAGAAGGGCCGGAGGAGCCTCACGAGTTGTTCAAGGGCGGGCAGCTGTACGCGGGGCCGCGTCCTGGCCGGTTGCAGATCTTGAACTGACGGCGATGGGGTGTTCACACAGACCAGCAAATGTTCTACTATACATTAGACAGTTGTAATACGACGTCCCAGAGCGAACAAGAGGCGGCGCATCGAGAGAGGGACTCCGCGGTCGCAAGAGATGGTGGTGGACATGAAGGAAGACGCGCGCGCGTGCATTCCTAATCGGGATGAGATCCGCGCGGCGGTGCACTCACATCTGGCGTCTATTCTGCCTCTCTTCTCCCGCACATCATGCGAGGTCGTGCATTGCTCGTTCGAGCCCTTTCCGGCATCGCCGGCCTTCTGTTCACGATATCGGCTGTTAAAGCAGTAGACTCACAGTCCGAAAAAGATGATGGCGGGTGCTGGACTACGCGGCAGTGCCAATGGCGACTGAGTGAGCTCTAGACCACCGGGAGGAACTGAATCGGCTGCGCGCGTCGCGTATTTGCATGCAACGGCTGCGGAAAGAATTGGTGCGGTGTACAAGATGTTCTGATGGATACGCGGACGTCCTGTCCAGCCCCATTTGTGCTGGGTCGGGTGAATATCTTGAGGAGCAGTGTACCTGCTCCTCAAGGTGTTTACCCACCTTGCTCACAATGTGGCTGAAAGCAGAAGCTTTGTGGCTGAAGCGACTTGAGTAAGAGCCCAGTGATAAACTAAGATTAGAGCAACGTAAGGCCAAAGTGTTGAGCGAGAGTGCCATTCAAGCAAGCGGGTGATATTTCAGTACAAATGACCATCAGAAATTACTTGCCAGCCTGATCGGATGCGCTTAGCTGGAGATCACACATCCCTCTCAGACGTGAACTGACTTAGGTACAGGCGGGTCGCTCGTGTGGCCTCCCACGCTCCTGTCTCCCTCTCCCACCCCATCTCCTCCTCCCATCCTGTCTCTCCCCAGCTGGCACCTCCTGGTATCTACTGCAGATGGTGAGTAGCAGACATCTCCACCACTGTGAGATCAGCACACTTACCAGGTCAAACAGCAAGACTATTAGCTCTGGGGGCCGAGGGGATAGTGCGAGTAGATGACGGCGGCGAGAGCACATTCAGTCATATTTGAAGGTATGTGTATATATTTCCACAGTGGGTGTAATGGCATACTCACAGGACATAGGACACTCTGACATGGTACTGCCGACACACCATTTTCGCATGCTCACGTTGTGTGCATAATCCCACCCGCGCGGGACATGTGCACGGCCGCGCCTCATCACGCAGGCCCCTGCCGCTCACCGACGGTCGCGCGCATCCCGCCACAACGCTCGTACGCGCCCTCCCTTCGCACGACGGGCGAGCCGTGAATGGTTCGGCGTCTCGTTCCCGCAGCTCACGCGGCGTCCGGCGCATCGGCCGCACGAAGATCCCACGCCCACCGCGAGGAGGAGCTGGGCGGAAGAGGCTGGCAACGGGGCGTCGGTTGCTGCTCGTGCGTGGGTGCGGTCCGCGGGCGTCTTCGGACGCGGGGCCGCGGAGACAACACAGTACCACTGCGGCTGTGCAGGAGCGAGCACTCGGGCGAGGTACGCGGGGGCGCGCGCCGATCGCGGATCTCGCGCTGCTGCTGCGACGCATCGACAGGGCATGCGCCGAAGAGACGGTACACGATGCGGGTATGTTCTCGAGAGGGCGCGAACGGCAAGGTGGTCATTGTGGTGCGCGAGGGGCGGGGCGCATATAGTCGATGTGCGCCAGCGGGGACAGAGACGTACCGCGAGGGGGTGGCAGCAAGGCGGAGGGAGTCGAGGTTCGCAACGGTGAGACTGGCCACTTACCTGTCCTCGGAGACGTGGCGGACCGGATCTGCAGGGAGATCGTGAGGAGGGGCGGGACGGGGAACGTGAAAGACGGTGCGCACCCTTCGACCTTTCGATTGTCCACTCGACGCCAGACTGAGCGCGCACGGCCAGCTAGCCTGGAAGCCAGGATGGCGGAAACGGACCGGGAGAGGGCCGCGGGCCGGAGTACGGGAGGGGAGAGGGAGACTCTCAGAGAGATCGCGAAAGGCTGTCGAGAGTCGAGAGTCGAGAGACGGATCGCCGCTCTCTCGATGTCGGGACCAGCGCCTAATCCAGCAGACTGTGAGCGGCCGCGGCCACGGTCCCAAACGCACCTTCGGACGTGCGCGCAGTACACCCGAGCGTGTCTTCGTGTCTGAGGGCACCCAGGAAGGCCTAGCGCGAGGTAAGTACTGCGCTTACTCTTGATTTCCACGGCCGAAGGCTGATTTCGCGAAGAGGCAGAGTTTGCGCGCGCGCAAGTATGAGCCGCAAGCAAAGGAGGGCGCGAAGTCGAGTACAGCAGACAGACAGACGAGTCGCGGGGGTGCATGTCGTATGTAATGTACAGTAGCACGTTGTGGTCGAACGCAGAGAGTCCCGCGCCCGCGCTCGCGAGCTGTGTGCCCGTAGACTGTAGACGCCCGCCCGCGCGGCCGCGTTCTCCAAGTATGCACTCTGCGCGCGGCCTCCTGTGCTGCATACGACTTCACCGCACTGTGCAATATATCCCTACCCCACCCCACTGTGCAATATATCCCCCACTCCACTCCCTTACCAAGCTGCTCTCTCCGGTACTCCCATCGATATCCTCACAAGCAAGTCGATCTCAGCGTCTACCGTACACGTGTCTACCCAGCACCCCATCACTTGTCGCGAGCGGGAGCGGGAGCGCGATCTTCTCGCCACAGTCCGCGGTGCCGGGGTCGCCTCTCGCGCGCACAAGCACCACCCCAACCACCCCGAACTCGCCCGCCCGGTCGGCGCTATCCTCGTCCCTCCCAAGCTCTCCCGGGTTCGCGCGCTCCTCCACAAACCTGCACGGCAGCTCAAACAGCATCGGCTCGCTCGCGCTCCCCGTGACGCTGCCCGCGATGGCCCCCGCCGTGACGCCCCCGCAGCCGTACCGCGACCCGCGCCCGGCGGTCAGCGCGTACTTCACGATCGCGTGTGCGAGCGCGACTGGGGCGAGTCTGACGCGCTTCACGAGCGCGCCGGATGTGTTCTCGGTGAGCCAGAGCTGGGGGTGGAAGTCGAGCTCGCTGCGCGCGGAGGAGTATCTGGAGGTCGATGCGGAGGGCCTGCCTGCGGCGGTGGTGCTGCCTGCGAGGAGGGAGGTCAGTTTGCGGGCGACGGTGGTGCTGGGCGTTGT